GTGATATCCTGAATGGGATTCTGGAATAGATGAAGGAAATTAGGTAAAAACTAAGGAAATCTGAATAAACTGTGGACTTTAGTTGATAATAATGTATCACCCACAACTGTATGGTCAACTAATCTTTGACAAAGCAGGATTGACTATCCAATTAAAAAAAGAGTCTTTCCAACAAATGGTGTTGGGAAATGGACAGCAACATGCAGAAGAATGAAACGGGACCACTTTCTTACACCATACACAACAATAAGTTTAAAATAGATGAAAGACCTAAATGTGAGATAGGAAACCATCAAAAATTCTAGAGGAGAACACAGACAGCAACCTCTTTAACCTTGGCTGGGGCCACTTCTTACTAGACACATCTCTAGAGGTAAGGGAAACAAAAGCAAACATGAACTATTGGGACCTCATCAAAATAAGAAGCTTCTGCACAGTGAGGGCAACAATCAACAAAACCAAAACGCTATCCATGGAATGGGAGAAGATATTTGTGGAATGCTGGGGTGGCTTAGTCAGTTAAGTGACCAACTCTTGATTTTGGCTTAGGTTATGACCTCACAATCATGGGCATGGAGCCTGCTTGGGATTCTCTCTCTCTCAGCAGCCCCCTCAAAATAAATAAATACACTTAAATTTAAGAAAAAATAAAAAAGAAGATATTTGCAAATGACATATATGATAAAGAGTTAGTATCCCAAATCTATAAAGAACTTATCAAACCCAACACCCAAAAAACAAATAATCTAGCCAAGAAATGGGCAGAAGGTATGAACAGACATTTTCCCAAAGACATCCAGATGGCTAACAGAAACATGAAAAGACGCTCAATATCATTCATCATCAGGGAAATACTTATCAAAACTATGATGAGATATGACCTCATGCCTGTAAGAATGGCTAAAATTAACAACACAAAAAGACCACAGGTGTTGGTGAGAAGGCAGACAAAGGGGAACACTTTCACTCTGTTGGTGGGAATGCAAACAGGTGCAGCCGCTCTGGAGAACAGTATAGAGGTTCCTCAAAAAGTTAATAATAAAACTACCCTATGATCCAGCAATTGCACTATGAGGTACTTACCCAAAGGATGCAAAAATACTGATTTGAAGGGATACATCCACCCCAATGTTTATAGCATCATTATCGACAATAGTCAAACTATAGAAAGAGCCCAAATGTCCACCAATTGATGAATAGATAAAAAAGATGTGTTGTATATATATATATGCATATAATGCAATTTTACTCAGCCTTCAAAAAGAATGAAATCGTACCATTTGCTATGCTGTGGATAGAGCAGGAGTGTATTATGCTAAGTGCAATAAGTTAGTCAAAGAAAGACAAATGCCATATGATTTCACTTACATGTGGAATTTAAGAAACAAAACAGAGGCACCTGGGTGGCTCAGTCGGTTAAGCATTCGACTCTTGGTTTTGGCTCAGGTCATGATCTCACGGTTTTGTTTGTTCAAGCCCTGCGTCGGGCTTTGTGCTGGCAGCACAGAGCCTGTTTGGGATCCTCTCTCTCTCTTCCTCTCTCTGCCCCTCCCCACTTGTGCTGTCTCTGTCTCTCTCAAAATAAATAAATAAACTTAAAAAAAAAAAAAAGAAGAAACAAAACAGATGAACGTATGGGACGGGGGGGAAAAAGAGAGAGAGGGAAGCAAACTCTAAGAGACTTCTTTAAAAATATTTTTTAGGTTTAAAAAATGTCTCAGTTGGGGTGTCTGGGTGGCTCAGTCAGTTATTTGTTTTTTGGGTGTTGAGTTTGATAAGTTCTTTATAGATTTGGGATACTAACTCTTTATCATATACGTCATTTGCAAATATCTTCTTTTTTATTTTTTTACTAAAAAAATTTAAGTTTATTTATTTATTTTGAGGGGGCTGCCAAGAGAGAGGGAGAGAGAGAATCCCAAGCAGGCTCCATACCACGACTGTGAGATCATAACCTAAGCCAAAAGCATCTGGTTAAGCATCTGTGCTGATAGCTCAGAGCCTGGAGCCTGCTTCAGATTCTGTGTCTCCCTCTCTCAATCTCTGCCCCTCTCCTGCTTGCTCTCTGTCTCACTCTCTCTTGAAAATAAATACATATTTCAAATTTTTTTTTAAAAAGAAATAAGAATTTTTTTTTTAAAAGGCTCAATATACACCAAACTTGTGATATAGGAATGGCCAACCTAAGAAATTAGTTGGAGAAAGGATCATATCAAGTATATGATTCCTGAAAAGGGCAAATGAGATAGGATCTACAATAAAGTGCCTGGAACCTGGTAATCACAGAGAATATGTCAGCTATTTTTCCTCTTATTATTTTATTGCTATTAAAACATGACAAGAGTGAACAAGAGTAATAGGAATAATTGTACTGAGATTAACATATGCTTTTCTTTAATGTTCCTGAACTTATTTATTTGCATGAAGTAGATATGATATTAGGATACCTGGCAACAGGAGTAGAAATGTGTAGTGCCAGCCATGAGCACTATGTCCAGCCCTAAGCACCATCTTCCTAGGGGCGAGGAAGAATTTTTTTTTTAATTTTTTTTTTCAACGTTTATTTATTTTTTTTGGGACAGAGAGAGACAGAGCATGAACGGGGGAGGGGCAGAGAGAGAGGGAGACACAGAATCGGAAACAGGCTCCAGGTTCTGAGCCATCCGCCCAGAGCCTGACGCGGGGCTCGAACTCAGACCGCGAGATCGTGACCTGGCTGAAGTCGGACGCTTAACCGACTGCGCCACCCAGGCGCCCCTGGGCGAGGAAGAATTTTAAAACACATCAAGAGGGTTTTATATTGTTTTGAGAAACTCAAACTTCTTGGTTCTCTGGGAAGACAAACAAAATGTCTTACTTAGTCTTTACTCACAGGTATGGTTCCAAAAACAGAAATTGATCATCTCAACCCTCACCGATCATTTTAAAAGATCTTTTTCAACGTAAAATTTGTGTGATGGGTGCCACCCTTAGAGTTTGTGGTCCCCAGAGCATAAGTAATGTAAAATAGCACTGCTTAACTCCAGTGGATAGAGGAAAGGTTGCTTGCCATACAACTATGTCAAAAGCTCTGAGGAAGCAACAGATAACCTCTGCTGCTTCCATAGTCACCTCAACAATTGTGCTCCTGAGGGAGAGGGAAAAAAGATGATATAAACAGACTTGGAGCCTCCTGAAAGCAGAATCTATTTTGTTTGGGAGAAGAAACAAACACTTATGAGGCAGACATGCCATCAGGCACTGTTCTAAACCCTTTGCCCACAGCAACTCACCTAGGCTCACAAACATCCTTAGAATGTAAGATCTTCATCCCTACCTCACATGTGTGCAAATTGAGGCAAAAGGAAATTAGGTAACTTGGCCCAAGGTCACACACCTAGGAAGTGGTAGAACCAGGACTGGAGCCTAAACAGCGAGTTTCCTCTTCCCATGATCTTTCCGCTTTGTTTTTAAACTCCAGCAAGAGAACTATTCAGATTACTTCCCTCTACCTTCCCAATAACTACAATAGTGCTTAGCACATGTTTGGTGCCTTAAAAATATTAGATACATGAAATCATCCCATTTCTTTTTTTCCTTGATTTCACACTGTATATACATATTTACTGTGTCTTCCCCCAGATATTTTTATAAAGAACGGTAAAATAGGGGCGCCTGGGTGGCTCAGTCGGTTGAGCATCAGACTTCGGCTCAGGTCATGATCTCGCGGTTCGTGAGTTCGAGCCCCGCATCGGGCTTTGTGCTGACAGCTCAGAGCCTGGAACCGGCTTCGGATTCTGTGCCTCCCTCTCTCTCAGCCCCTCCCCTGCTCATGCTCTGTCTCTCCCTGTGTCTCAATAATAAATAAACATTAAAAAAAATTTTTTTAATAAAAATAAAAAAGATCAGTAAAATATATGGATTTTCTTAGATTACCCTAGAATATCTGTGGCTGCTTACCTGATTTAAACCAACACTGTAAATATGACATACAAGTTGTACTGGCTTTTCTTCTCTGCCATCTTTTAAATTCACAAATGTCTGGACACTACCCCTAAAATTATAGGCTCACAGAAACAGAATGGTGTCCAGAAGTCATCTTGTCCACACTGGCTCCAGAACTTTGCTTCAGTCTAAACCATGTGGTGCTTCCTTCTTTATTGAGCATCTCAATAATTACATTAAATAGCTATAGCATATTGAGCATAAGCAAAAATATGATGTTCTTCCACAGTTTTTAAAGACTATATTCTTTAAGGTCTAAGATTATGTCTTGGTGCTTTTTTTTCCTTTTTTTTTTCTCCAAGCCCTTGAATATAGCCTGGAATCCAAGAGTCATTCAATACAACCTCATCCATTAATTCTCATTCCAATCTCTGGGGACACAAGTTTACTCCTTCTTCTATGTGACAGTCCTTCGAATAAGTGAAGATATCCCCACCTAAAATCATTTTTCTTTGAGCTAAACCTGCCCATTTACTTCAACCAATTTTTCTTCAAGAAGGTAGATGCAAGTTCCTGACTCTTTGCAGAGGCTGTATCCGACTCCCACACCTTTTTTATTATTTGGGGATCAGAACCAGATATAGTGTGATTTGACCAGGGTGAGAGCCAGCCTCCAAGAAGATCCCTCCTGAGCCTCATCATCCAGTATTCATGCCCTTCTGTAGTCCCCTCCCACACTGAATAGAGCTGACTGGTATGACCAATAGGATTTGTGAACATGACAGCATGTGATTTCTGAAGCTAGGCTATGAAAGACATGGCGGCAACTATATTATTCTCTTAAATCACCCACTCTGGGGGAATGCTAGCTGAAATGTCACGAGGACACTCAAACTCCACCATAAGTAGGCTCAGATGGAGAGGAACTGAGGTTTTCTGTCACTCATGCGAATTAAGCCATCTTAAAAGCAGATTCTCCAGCCCTAATCAAGCCTTCAGATGACTGCAGCCCCAACTACCATGATGACTGGAACACACCCTGTTCCAGACCACCCAGCTAAGCCACTTACCAATTCCGAACACACAGAAACTGCCGGAAATAACAAACATTTATTCTTCCTTAAGCCACAAGGTTTTGAGGTACTCAGTTACGTAGTAATAGATGATTATTCCAACCAAGTCAGAAGACAAAAGGATTAGCTCTTCCTTCTTGACCCTGGATATCATAAGAAATGGCAGAAAGACCATTTGAAAGAAAGACCATTGAAAGGAATCTTTCAATCAATAGACTGATCAAACCATTAATTTTTAAGATTTGGGGGAGATGTGTGTGTGTGTCCATGTGTAAAAATTTCTCTGGTATCTTTTTTAGGTAAGGTGTGTGTGTGTGTGTGTGTGTTTTAAGTTTATTAAGTAATCTCTACACCCAACACAGGGCTTGAACTCACGGCCCAAGATCAAGACTCACATGCTCCTCGCACTGAGCCAAACAGGTGCCTCAGTTAAGCTGTTTTATTTTATGCCTCTGCAGCATTGCCATAATGCCATACTTAGACACTCAGCACGTAACTTTTTAAATATTGTGCTTCACCCTTAAGGCTTGAGAAGCACAACCAATTTTTGCTCATGAATGGGTGAGATGAAAATCTATTTTGCACCCTTTTGGAACTCTCACTGGGAGCCAGTGGTCTCTTGTTCACCAATGTTAAGATTTTTCTACACTTCTTTGAGTGTGGTACAGGGAAGAGTTGGATTTAATAGGCTGGACTTCTCACATGATTCAGTTTAGACAACGCCTAGCTTCCAACAGGAACTTAGAAGACAGTCTGCCTCTGTGTCCTTGTCTCACTTCTCACCCCACCCCCCACACTTAGGCACTAGCCTTGCTATGGTGTTTTCACTCACATCTAGTTTGTTCTTACAATATTTTCTCATAGCATTTTCTTTCTGAATGTCTGCTTCTTACATTTATACTTTGAAGTTTCTTTCTTTTCTACTACCATTGGGTAGTATGTCCCAACCTCTTCTGCAAACATGAGTTACTTTTATATAGAACTTAATTTATTTTTTTATATATTGAACTACATTTTTTTTAAGTTTATTCATTTAAAAAATTTTTTTTAATGTTTATTTATTTTTGAGAAACAGAGAGAGACAGACAGAGTGCGAGTGGGAGAGGTGCAGAGAGAGAGAGGGAGACACAAAATTGGAAGCAGGCTCCAGGCTCTGAGCTGTCAGCATAGAGCCCGACGTGGGGCTCGAACTCACAGACTGCATGATCATAACCTGAGCCAGTCGGACACTTACCCGACTGAGCCAGGCAGGGGCAGAAAGAGAGAGAGAATCCAAGCGGGCTCTGCACTGTCAGCCCGGAGCCCCACGCAGGGTTCGAAACTAAGATCATGACCTGAGCCAAAATCAAGAAATGAAGAATCGGATGCTTAACCAACTGAGCCTACCAGGTACCCTGATATAGAACTAAATTTCAAAGATAAAATTCTCTCAAGTTAACTTTAGGCCTTCAATATTCAAGGTATTATATTGCTCCTAATGACATTAAGCACTTAAGAAGATGGGTGAACAATTTTAGGCTTTGGGAGATCCACTGATAGCTCTGTGCTTGATATATTTAAAGATACTAGTGTGTCCTTAGAAGATACAATGAACTTTGAGGTACTCAGGGGGTTCAGAAAAATAAATGCACCTTACTACCATGAGAATAACTTAAACCTGGAGGAACAAAATAGTTCTAAGTGAACTTCAGAAATCTTGCTATTATTATTTTTTTCAATTTGTTAACATTATTTTTAAGAGAGAGAGAAGGAGAGTGAATGGGGGAGGGTCAGAGAGAGAGGGAGTCACAGAATCCGAAGTAGGCTCCAGGCTCTGAGCTGTCAGCACAGAGCTCGACGTGGGGCTGGAACCCACAAACCGTGAGATCATGATCTGAGCCGAAGTCAGACGCTTAACTGACTGAGCCACTCAGGTGCAACCCCTCTTTTTCAAAAAAAAAAAATGTTTAATGTTTATTTGCGAGAGAGAGAGACAGAGCATGAAATCTTGCTATTATTTTTATTGTTGTAGTTAATTGCACCACAGGAAGACATTTGGATTGAACATGTAAAAGAATGCACTCTTTGTTCAGAAAAATAAGGGGGAAATGAGGCAAAGAAAAAAGACCATCTACGTTAAAAATAATATTTATATCAGTGTTTATACACAGTGCAAAACATTTTACAAAACATTTCACTTATGTCTCATCTCACCCTCACAACAATCCAATGAACTAAACAGTGGGATGTTATTCCCATTCTATACATTTCAGAGGAAACAGGTTAAATGACTTACTCAAGCTCAAATGGCTCCTGAAAGGCTGAGATGTAGTGAAGATCAAAGACTCCTTTTGTTTCTGTGGGTAAGTTTCCACTACCAGGAAGGGAAGATAAATAAGAAGGAAAAAAATACAAACTTAATGGGAAAAGGCGGCTAACCGTTTTTTACACAGTATAACGAGGCACTGCTGAGTGGTTATAAAAAAGCTCATTTACCTCCCCAAACACTTAACATTCCCAGGATGATATTTAAGAAACAGGAAGCTGGGTTGACTCAATACTTGTTATCCTCAGTTGTGCGGCAAAGCTAATTATAGTATACATTGCATGGAGTTGTTGGGAGGATTAAATAAGATAATATATTTAAAGAATGGTAAGTATTCAATAAGTGTTAGTTGTTATTATTGATGACTGTGTTATTTCAATCAGGGTGGATCGAATACTAGAATAAGGAGCAGTAGATATGCATTTTCATGCCGCATTGTAATCAGCCTACCCTGAATTATCTTCCTTCAGTTCTCTTATCTAGAGAATGAAGACAATGTTCCTTTCTAGCTGCCTCCTTCACAGAAACAATTCATCATGCTGGATCGTGTTCTGAGCATCGAAAAGCTGTATAGAAATACAAGAAAATACCGCAACTATTTCTCTCCCCGTTTTTGTCTCTCCTTGCCCTCCTGAGCAAAGCCATACAACAGGGCAATGGAAGGGGTTTATGAGTAGTCATCCATTCAGACCTACGCAGTTGCCCGACAGCTTAAAAATTCAATGGCTGAACTGGAAAGAACAGTCAACTTGACCTCATTGTTTTCTGAGATTCAGACGAATAGCTCTTACCATCTGTAAGAGGTTCATGTACCATCTAAGGAATGGACAGATTATTTTGCCATGGATTAGCATAGTGATTAGCCCATGAGAGGTTTGTGCACAAGGAGATACTTCCTCCAAATGTCCTTGCAAGGCTGTTGTGGCTGCTGTTTACCTTAGAAGTGATCCCACTTTGGGGGTGCCTAGCTGGCTCAGTCAGTTGAGCATCCAGCTTCAGCTCAGGTCATGATCTCGTGGTTCTTGAGTTCGAGCACGAGTCAGACTCTGTGCTGACAGTGCCGATCCTGGAGCCCACTTTGGATTCTGTGTCTCCCTCTCTCTCTGACCCTTTCCCACTCTCTCTCTCTCTCTCTCTCTCAAAAATAAATAAGCATTTTAAAAAATTTTTTAAAAAAAGAAGTCTTTCTCTGTATGACTTACTTAACAGAAGACCATGGGGGAGGGGAAGGGGAAAAAAAAAGTTAGAGAGGGAGGGAGGCAAACCATAAGAGACTCTTAAAAACTGAGAATAAACTGAGGGTTGATGGGGGGTGGGAGGGAGGGGAAAGTGGGTGATGGGCATTGAGGAAGGCACCTGTTGGGATGAGCACTGGGTGTTGTATGGAAACCGGCTTGACAATAAATTTCATATTAAAAAAATAATAATAAAATAAAAAATTTAAATTAAAAAAAAAAGAAGTGATCTCACTTTGGTTCAGAGATCTCACTCTGTTAGATCCCTGTAACTTCATTCCAACAGCATTCCTCCTGCCACCCCACGGCCAACCACTGGGAACAGATGTTTAAGGGCTTGTCACATGAGTAAGTGATCATTCTTGTCAGTATCACAGAGCAGCTGATCATTCATGATCAGATCATGATTGTTGACTAAGTCAGGGTCATTCGGACCCAACTACACGCTGTGGTAATAGCATGCGATTCTACACTGTCCTGCTTGATTTGAGATGTTTCAGGAATGATGTAACTTGGCAAATGAATCTAGAATCAAAAGCTCTTTAGATGATAATCTTAGGTCAACTACGAGCGATGCCAATCAACCCATGAATGTAATGTTTCTCACATGTTGATTTTAAAATTAGTGCCCACTAATATGGGCTATTTCAGGTTAGTGAAATGAGCTTATAAATTTTAGATAGTTCAGGTCCCCTATCATCACATACGTGTCAAACGTCATTTGATAAATGCCATTGCCAAAGGCTTAGGTATTACTTTCTGTTCTCATTCCTGAGATGATCAAAAACAACATTATGATGGTCATGTTGAACAGAACAGTTCAGTCAGATTTAATTGAGTCAGATTAGGCTCAAATCATTAGGGAACATTCTTACAATCCTTTTTAATACCCCTTTTGTCTCGGATCATAATTAAAATAATATAGAAACAACTTTATTAATATAGTTGCAACTATATTCATCTGTATTGAGCCTGTCTTTCAGTTTTCTGTCCACTCAAACTTAAGAGATCTTCTTGTGATTTATTAACTATTATCTTCACATTTGCCTGCATGACACTGAATTACACAATCGAGAAATTTTACTGTATACTTTCTCTTCCAGGTTAGTGTTAAAACTTCCCTTTCTAGAAAATTGACTTTCATCCACATCTTTTGATTTCTTCCATCTTTTCTATATTTTCTTTCTCCTGAGATACGTTATTTCTTTCCTTTGGCTATAATCACAGTGACTTCTTTTTTTCTCTTCCTTTCCTTAACTAATATCTCAAAGATGGTTTAAATACTGACCGAACAACTGTATTAAAAATTTTAACCACATGCCGTTTTCGAAGATTAACAGTGAAGAAGATTTCTTTGCATTTAGACTACATTGCGGTAGATACAAAAATATTTCTTAAGAATATTTGGTCAAGGGGCGCCTGGGTGGCTCAGTCGGTTAAGTGTCTGACTTTGGTCCAGGTCATGATCTCACAGTTCGTGAGTTCGAGCCCTGCATCAGGCACTGTGCTGACAGCTCAGAGCCTGGAGCCTGCTTCAGATTCTGTGTCTCCCTCTCTCTCTCTCTCTCTCTCTCTGCCCCTCCCCAGCTCATGCTCGCACTCTGTCTCTGTCAAAAATAAATAAACTTAAAAAAAGAAAAAGAATATTTGGTCAAAGGGAGGCATAGTTTGTCCTCTCTGGGACATTGGCTTATAGCCATCTAACTGTCAAAATCAGCATTTCTCACTGTGATTTTTTTAAGTTTCTTTATTTACTTTGAGAGAGAGAGAGAGAGAGAGAGAGAGAGCACTTGAGTAGGGGAGGAGCAGAGAGAAAGGGAGAGAGAGAGAGAATCCCAAGAAGGCTCTGCACTGTCAGTGCAGAGCAGAGCCCAATGTGTGGCTCAAACATATGAACCATGAGATCATGACCTAAGCCAAAATTGAACGCTTAACCAAATGAGTCACCCAGGCACCTCTCCCAATGTGATTTTATTCTGAGAAAATCTAGTTCTATAAAATGCTTCCAGAAAAAAAACAAAAACAAAAAAACAGAGAAGCGTATTTTTGTTTTTTCCTTTCTTTTCTTCTTTTTTTCTTTTCTTAGTATCGATTGCTATGCTTTAAGTTGTAGCTAACAAAATTAAATTCAAACTGTTTCAAAACATGGAGATATTTATTGGCTTCACTGATGGCTAGAGTCTAGAGGTGGGGCAGGCAAAATGCAGTTTGCCCAGGCCTCCAGATCTATTTCTGGACTCTGCTTACATCTGTATATTAGACTCTTCCCTCTTCTCTGCAAAATGACTGCAGCAGATCCAGCCCTCATAGTCTCCAGAGTATTAAAGAGAATCAGTATTCTTTAAAATTTTTGAGATTGGCTCTTATTGGACCGTCTCAGGTCACCTGCTATTTACCAAGCCAATACCGTGGAAGGGATAACATACTGATTGGCTTAGCCTAGATCACATGTTCCTCTGTGGAGCCATAGATAGTGTCAGGTTCCCCAGAATTCCAAGGCTGAGACCACACACTAGGAGTGCTGTAGAAGCAACTAACAGGTGTCCACTATCAATAAATTTGGAAAACACAGGCTTATACTCACTTCTAAGTTCAAGCACAGTCCCGAAAAGGAGGAAGCCTTCAAGCCTAGAGAATAAGCATCAGGAAGAGATCAGTCCCATGAGATTTATGATCACCAAAACTTAATATAAGACTGTTGGAACAGAAGCCCTCTTAGGAGAAAATGTATCTGGTATGCTCACCACTTTTCCCTGGTGCATTGGAGAATGGCTGACATATTGTAAGCACTCAATAAATATTTGTTGAATTAATGAAAGAACTGTTTCGTTTTGTTTTTTACTTTAGAGAGAGAGTTCAAGCAGGGGAAAGGGGGGCAGACGGAGACAGAATCTTAAGCAGGCTCCATGCTCAAGACAGAGCCTGACACAGGGCTTTGATCCCACGACCCTGGGATCACGACCGGAGCCGAAATCAAGAGTCAGACACTCAACCAACTAAGCCACTCAGGCAGTCCTGAAAGAACTGGTTTCTAATGAAGGGCATTTTATCTGAAAGCTTTGTTCTCATAGGGAAAGAAAATCCATAAAACTCTGAGTAAGCCCCTTCTGAGGAAATGGGCATAAGGAGGGAATTTTTTCAATGCTCCATGAGGTCTTGCTGTGCAGTTGCTGAGGCGGACCTACTTTCCTTTACTTCCCCACCTATCCTTACCAAAACACTCCTCTGCTGAAGGAAGCTATCATCCATGTGTTCCTGCAACCTAAAATTAAATTACAACATTCAGTACACAGCCCTATACGAGGAGGAATGGAAAGAGATCAAGACGATACCAGAAACTGTTTTTATCCTTTAAAAAATGAACACTAGGGGCGCCTGGGTGGCTCAGTGGGTTAAGCGTCCAACTTCAGCTCAGGTCATGATCTCCCGGCTTGTGAGTTCAAGCCCCGCGTTGGGCCCTGTGCTGACAGCTCAGGGCCTGGAGCTTGCTTCTGATTCTGTCTCCCTCTCTCTCTTCTCCTCCCCTGTTCACTCTCTCTCTCAAAAATTAATAAACATTAAAAAAATTTTTTTTAATTATTTAAAAAAAATTTTTTTAAATGAACACTAAAAACATGGCAAGATTATGAACTGTAGAGTTTCAAAGACAGGGGTGTGAATCGAGGCTCTGCTCTTTACTAATCATGTGACCTGAAGCAAATCACTTAACCTCTTAGAACCTGTTTTGTCATCTGTAAAATGAAGATGATCTCTCCTCATTCTTTAGTGTGACATGGCAAAATGCTTAGTACATTGTCTGCCACAATATTCAGTGAATGAATCATCATTATTATTCTCCTCATCCAAAAAACTTCAAACTGATTTAACTGAATAGTTCATTCAACTCACCAATTTTTCTAGGTGATGCCGAAGGCTAGTCTATAAGATATTGCTCTGGAAAAATTAACGGTATTCACAAACAAGTCTTAAGAAATTAGGCCTCAGGATATAAACAGAGACGAAACTGATGGTTACCATATACGGAAACACTGAGGAATTGTGAACAATTTGAGTGGTTACCCTTAGGAAGAAAAAGTCATATGAAGACGCTACCATTTTGAGGAGCATTTTAAAGACTACAAATGGATTAGTGAGAAAAAGGTAGAAGCACTTTAAGTGGGGAAAGATGTAGGTAAGAAGCCTTGGATATGGGGCTGTGTGTGCTATGACCACAAACAGTCCCACCTGGTTGAGGCAGAGAGGTTGATCAGAATGCCATAGCACTAGGGCAGTGAGGCAATGTGGTAACTGATGGGAAATTAACAGGACCAATGACCAGTTCTAGCTGATGATAAATGATGATACTGGATTTGATTCTGTGCATTGATTTGCCATTTCCTCCTCCTTTTTCCATTTACCTGCAATCTCAAAGATGAGCAATCTTCCTTCTGGAGGTGGGTATGACAGACCATTTTGCAAGCACTTTAAATCCTTCGGGAAACACAAACATCTTGTGACCTGGAACAGTCACTTAGGATTCTGACTCAGACTGGGAATCTGAGTAATGCTGTGCTAATAAGCCAGAACGAGGCCATAAACATCTGGCTGCCCTACTTGATGGATCCTTGGCATTTGTCAGCAGGCCCTGTGAAGATAAGGTTGAGTCTATCAGAAAATGTTTAAGGTCTACATGGGAAAAGAAGTCTTTTGGAATGAAAACAAGGCAGGGTACCTGAATATGACACCACGATTTCCCTACTTTACTCTATTTCTATTATATAGGATGGGATGAGCAGAGAGTGCTCAGGCCAACCTTCTAAGGCACCTGGTTGGCCAAAGGAAGCCATTTTTATTATTTTTTAAAGTGTTTTATTTACTTTTGAGAGAGAAAGAGCACAAGCCGGGAAGAGGCAGAGAGAGACAGAAGATCCAAAGCAGGTGCCCACTGACAGCAGTGAGCCCGACACGGGGCTCGAACGAACAAACTGTGAGATCATGACCTAAGCTGAAGTTGGACACTCAACCAGCTGAGCCACACAGGTGCCTCTAAAGGAGGCTATTTTTAACTCTAATCCCATATTCACACCAAGCTGCCTTCCAATCTTATTTTGGTTTCCAAATCCACTGTATTCCAGTCCCACTGTTGAGTGGTAGGTGTTTGATTACATCTCAATAGACTGACCAAGAGATTATACAATTCCCAAGAGTAGAAAGTAAAACTCTGGAACAGAGTCAGCATTCAACAAATATGTTAAATACGATGTCAATTAGTCAGAAAGATACTATACCAAAGCAATGAGCTTGGCTATCCTAACCATCACCTCAAACCCCAGTAATTTCATTTTACCTTGATGTTTCAACAATTATATATAACTTAAATACAATAGGCTGATGGAATCTTTATTTCCAACCCCAATTTCTCTGAAGTTCAGATCCATATTTCCAACTGCTATTACACATCAAAAATGTCCCATTGGTTGTTCTAACAGTACTTAAAACTCAAAGTGCTTACAATCAAAACCTTCACCTTCTTCCTCGTTCATCCACCCTATCCACAAGCCTATCTGAAACAAGGAAAAACTGCTTATCTTCTGTAACCACTATTTTGTTAACACTACCCTTGCTAACAGGGATAGCTGAGCCAGAAATCCAACTCTGCGCTGACTCATTTCTCTTTCTGTACCCACATCCCATCTAATTAGCAACCGAGGATTGTTGTCACTCCCTTCCAAACGACTCTTGAATTTAACTTCTCCTCTCCTTTCCCATCACCACGGATTAATGTGACCCTCATCACCTTGAGACTGACTCTAAGACTTTAACTGCTCTGGGTTTTCTCTCTTTCAATCCATCCTGTTAGTGATTTCAATATAATCTTTTCAATTCTCTACTTAGCATCCCTCAAAGACAATCCATCTAATATAGAGATATCTCGTACTCCTTCACCTACCACTCAGACCCTTTGTTTCTGCTGCCAAGCAGCCCTTGCCGTTTCTCCCTGTGGCATGCAGCCATTCTACCTTTACAGGGTGCATCTTTCAGGTCTGGGCTCATGAATGGACCCTTAGCCTAGAAGTCTCTTCTCTGTTGTTGTGCTATTGTTGTTGCTGTGTTGTTTTTTAATCTGAGCATATACTATAAACAGTTCAAAGCCCAACCCCAGAGTCCCTGATGCCGGCTGGAAGAAGGGATGGCTCTCTCTTCCATGGTTCCATAGATTATTACATTCCATCATCACACACCTATTAGATTTCATTGAGGACTGTGGTGAGGCTTTGGCCACCTTTGTATCCCAGCACCTAGCACATGCAGGCACCCAGTAAATAATGGCGAACTTCAGTAGCAACTGTAGCTCTGTTTCCAAAGGTCCATCTAACAGTATGACCGAGGCCTTATATTTAAAAGTAGCCATTAATCTGTTATGCTTTGTCTTTTGTTGACAACTAAATACGCTAAAAGTTCTCTGGCTAGGGGTTATTCTCAGGCCAATATAAATGGTATTATGGGGCACCTGGCTGGCTCAGCTGGTTAACTGTCCCACTCTTGATTTTGGCTCCGGTCATGATTTCATGGTTCGTGAGATGGAGCCTCTCGTCTGGCTCTGCATTGGCAGCACGGAGCCTGCTTGGGATTCTCTGTCTCTCTGTCTCTCTGTCTCTCTGTCTCTCTGTCTCTCTCTCTCTCTCTCAGACACACACACACACACACACGCACGCACGCACACACACCTCTGCCCCTCCCCCACTCACACACGTTCTTTCTCAAAATACATAAACATTTTTTAAAAATGGTATTATGGGGCGCCTGGGTGGCTCAGTCGGTTAAGCATCCGACTTCGGCTCAGGTCACGATCTCACGATCCGTGAGTAAGAGTCCTGCGTCGGGCTCTGGGCTGATGGCTCAGAGCCTGGAGCCTGCTTCTGATTCTGTGTCTCCCTCTCTCTTTGCCCCTCCCCCATTCATGCTCTGTCTCTCTCTGTCTCAAAAATAAATAAAAACGTTTAAAAAAATGGTATTATGATCATTCCTGCATATGTTGTTTGGAACTCCGTTAACTTGCTCAGTCTCAACAACAACAACAACAGATCACAGGTAAAAAGCCCCCTTCAGAAAGGCAACGATGCAGTTAACTTTGGCTGCCATTACACCTTTCTGAACTATGTCTTCTGCATTCATAATTAACATCTCTGTTGCTCTAAGCACCTGGAACAGAAAAAGAGTGTATAACTGAGACATGTGTTACATTCTAGTGGAGATGGCATGGGTTAATCTGTGAATAATCAAACATTGAATTGATACTTCAATACACAAATTATTCTGTTCCTTTTCTTGTCTCAAAATGCTTAAATTTTCCTCATTCACATTAAAAAGTAATAATTTATGATATATGAGAGATAGCAAAGAAGTAACTATCATTTATTTTACTACATGTGAACATCTTTGAGGAAATACTGTTATCTTTTTTCAAATTTATCTATTTATTTTTAGTAATCTCTACACTCAGAGTGGGGCTTGAACCCATAGTCCCAAGGTCAAAAGTCGAACACTCTTTCAATGGAGCCAGCCAGGTGCCCTGGAAATCGTGTTATCTTAAAAACTTGCTCAGAATTGGTAAATTTGTATTTACATCTATTTTTCTGAATCATAGTATTTTTTTGCTACCTTTGTAGTTCAATATGATAAATTCTGGCTCTAACAGCAGTTATTGATTAGCAACTTGAGATATTAACATCCTCATAAGGGGATGTCCATTATTACTAGTATCTGTGGAAGACAATGGTGCTGTGTGTGCCCAGAGAATGAGGGACATTGTCTTGCTCAATTGATTTTCAGTCAATGAGCTCATCAGCTAAATCTGATGGACTGACAGAGAACCCAAACATGAGGAAGGAACTGTAATGGACTAAGACAGTATGTTGGAATGCCCAGAGCAGTCAGATGAGGAAGGGCATCCAGCCAAGTCAAGAGATTCAGGCCAGACTCCAAATGAGCTGGAGCTAACAACAAAACAATATCTCTTGTTTTCGACCCTGTGCAAATTATAAAAACAAGAGGATGTGGCCATTGTGACATGTTCCCCCAAGCACCACTCATTTAGCTGGGGATTGAACAACTACCTAATACCAGAAGCAGGCAGTGGAGAAAGGACCCCAGCCCTTATCCCCAAATTTAGAAGGAGCCACAGTGAATCCAGTAACCTGTAACTTTTCCTCTTTTAGCCAAGAAGTTTAGAATAGAGAACTTGTCTCCTACCAAAAACGACACTCTGATTTAGATCTTAGTCCTGGATTTGATTTGGACACATCCTTTAACCTCTGAATACATCATTGTGGAAGTAACAGTTTATTTTTTAAAAGTCCTATCCAGCTTATATAATCGTACACATCCAATGATATTTAAGAGTCTTTGTAAACCCCAAAGTGCTACACAGAGGTAAGATAGAATTGTGGTCAGGCATCTACCAAGAACACTGGCTTTCTTCTTTTAATCCCTTGTCAACTATTGACCAAGCAACTATTATGCCAGCCACTGTTCTTAGTGACCCCACGGACATAAATATCCTCCAGGAGCATTTGTTCCCTCAGGGAGATTCAGATAATAAACACATAAGCTCAGTATGTTATATACTATGTTGGAAAGTGGCAAATGCTATGGAGAACAAAATGAAGCATGGGGTAAAGGGGGGGGAGGGAGTTCAGAGGGAATAGTAGGAGCTTCAGTTATTTTTAAAAAGAGTGAGGACTGCACGGGTGGCTCAGTTCATTAAGCATCAAGTGACTCCTGATTTCGGCTCAGGTCATCACCTCCCAGATTGGTGAGACTGAGTCCTGCATTGGGCTCTGTGCTGACAGCCTGACAGGGGTAAGCCTGCTTGGGATTCTCTCTCTCCTCTCTCTCCGCCCCTTGCCCTGTTCGGCGCAGTGTTGAACTTGTGCTCTCTCTCTCTCTCTCTCTCTCTCACACACACACACACAAAATAAACATAAATAAATAAATAAATAAATAAATAAATAAATAAATAACAAAGTGAGCAAGTGGACTTGTAGGGAAGAGTTCCTGGAAGAGGGGAGGGCAGTGCAGGAGAGGGCCAGACAAGAAAGGAAAGCAGAGTGGGTGAGTGAGTAGGCCAATAGGAGGGGAGGAGTTCAGAGAGACAGCCACCGTTAAGATCATGGAGGGCCATTCTAAGTCCTTTGGGTCTTGCTCTGACCCGACGTGACTTCTGTTTTCAGAGGCTTCTTCTGACTGCTGAATTGAGAACAGATTGTAGAGGCAAGTATGGGAGGAAGGAGCCCAGTCAGAAGACTCTGCGGGAGACCACAGAGTGTGATTTGGACCAGTGTGATAGTGGTGGGGACGCTGAAAGCGGGCAGTTTCTGGATGTGTTTAAAGGTCAAGCCATCAGGACTTCCTGACAAATTAAATGCACAGAGAGAAAGAGGATTTGGGTCTGAGACACCAAGGGTTTGGGCCTGAGACACCAGAAGACAGAGCAGCCAATGATCGAGACGTGTTGATACAGAAGGGAACAGGAAGTCCTCTCCCTTTTCTCCTCCTAGTTGCTCAGGCAACCAGGAGGAGAAATGTGTAAGTGTGGATAGTGCGGACAGAGGAACAAAACTGAGACAGTCCTACTTGGTGACTGCTGGAAGGGACTGACCACTTTTACCACTTCATCTCTCTGCACCTCAGTTTCTCGTACTGTAACACGAGATGGATAGGCCAGCTGGATAATGGTAAAATGCCTTTTCAGTGGCTAAATTTGAGAACCTACATGCTACAACCAATTCTCACACTTTTCAAGATTTTTTTTAAATATATTTTTTTCTTGGAAAGTCTCCGTAAGTAAATTCAATTGTTAAAACTATTCTTTTTGGGGTTTTCTTTTTGGCTTAAAACAAAATTATTTTGTGATCCTAGTCTGAACACTGCCCTCCCCCCACCAAAAAAGAATCTTAGTAAGACATTTAAAACAACAGCAACAGGGGTGCCTAGGTGCCTCAGTCGGTTAAGTATCCGACTCGGCTCAGGTCATGATCTCACGGTTCATGGGTTGAAGCCCCGCGTGGGCTCTGTGCTGACAGCTCAGAGCCTGGAACCTGCTTCAGATTCTGTGTCTCCCTCTCTCTCTGCCCCTCCCCTGTTCACACTGTCTCTCTCTGTCTCTCAAAAATAAATAAATGTAAAAAAAAATTTTTTTAACAACATGTCCTGCAACTGTTTATACAATACCTCGTTCCAGGGAGGTACATGGCTAATCAGGACACCTATTTCCTACTGTCATACTTAATTGGAAGTTTTGCTCACGAGGTTAAATTACAGCAAGCATTGTGTGTCACTGCGAAAATATTCCCTTTCGCTTTAATGGCACATGGGTGGACAAAAATGCTTCTAAGGCTGCCTGAAAGGACACCGGGCTCCTGTGGGTTCTTGCTGTCTTCTGCCAATACTTTTTCATTTTCCCTTAACAACGGCAGTACATTGGTCCAGGAAGTTAAGAAGTTAGCAGAGAAGAATAAAGACCAAGCATCTGCTATTCACAACCTGACGCAACAGAAGAATATAAATATACACAAATTAATTTAAGCCCATAGAAAATCTCTCAAACTGTGTAGCCTACAGCACATCTCCCCTTGTCCACAACATTCCATCAGGCCAGCGGAACATCAGCAGCATCATGATAGCTTGTATATACTGAGTGCTAACCCTGTGCCAGGCATTGTGCCAAGGGTTGTCATGACAACTCAACCCCGTAAGAAGAGTGCCATCATAATTTCCATTGTCAAAGGAACGGGATGCACATCTAGGACCGCCTAACCTCAAGCCCAAGCTCAAGAGCACAGTGGGAGGATTGAGGCTTGGATGGAGATGGAATGCATCGTTTTCAATATACTGTCTCATTGTCATTATACTGTCTTCTAAGCCCTCCATTACCCGCCCTCTGCTTGAGGGTAGAGACCAAAGTGTGTGTTCGTACCACCAGCGTTCTGCAAAGCAGTTACGCACGAACAGAAAGTCCCGCGGACGCTCCATGATGAGTGGCACCTAAGCTGTCCGGTTCTTCGGGTTTTCCCAGCGCAGAGCCCGGTATATACTGCAGGCACTCCATCAATACTCGTTGGGTAAATAGTCAGAAAGACGATCCAGAGGGTGAGTGAGGAAACCTGAGGACAGGTGAAAAAGGGCACGCCTGGTGATGCCTCCAGAGCTCCTCCCACTTATTTGCGCTCCTGCAGGTTTCTACCGTGAGGGGCCCCTGGTGTCCCCTCCTCCCTTCCCTACCCCTCTCGGCGACCTCGCTCAGCCAGAGCGGCGGCTGGCTGCGACGACCGCCCACTGGGTGGGTGGGGGCGAGCGGCGGAGGTCGGACCCCGGGAGCCACGCCCCACGCACGCGTCCCACGCACGCACACGCTCACGGGCAAACTCCACAGGCGCGCGCTCTGCCGCACCCCTGCTCATACTCTTTACACGCACCCCGGCGCGCGCGCACGTTCTTACACATCCTCCTACGCACAGACTGACCGGAGCACACGCTCACGTTCACACACACGCTGTTCACACCCACCCGCCCTCACACACCCGGCCTCATTCGCCCCGTCGTGTATTCACACTCCTGTATCACACAGTCCTGCTTACAACCTCCACTCAAGCTCTCACACACCCACCCTCCTCAGTTGTATACACATCACACGCGCGCATGCTACTAACAGTCGCACTCTTCACCTCGTCACACACACCCCGTCACCCGCTGTCACACGGTCACGTACGCCCCCGTTCTCAACTCTCACGCACACTTCACGCGCGCTTGCGCACACGGACTCACGGCAAATTCTCCCTCCTTGCACGCGCGCGCGCATGCGCACCTGTCGCGGAGGGGACGGAGGGCCCAGCGTGGGGGATGCGGTGTGTTTGGAGTTTGGGGGCGGTTACTGGTCGCGATGTCGTCGGGCTGTAGGTTCAATACGATCCCTTAGAGTCGCTTCGTTTTCCAATGAGGAGTTAGGGAGAAGGAGAGACTGCCGCCAGGAAGGGGGTAGGGTGCGGGTCTGGAGCTCTAGCAGCGAAAGCGCCCGGAGCAGCGGACACGGCGCAGCGCCTCGCAGGGTCTCAGAGCCGATTTACCCCCATCCAGGGAGCGGCCTCTCGAGCCTCTTAGAGCCTCGGCCTCCCCGGGCTTCACCCACGCGTGGGGTTTGAGGGTTGAGTGAGGACCGACTTCAAACTGTCCTCCCCCCCACCCCCACCCCCCACCCCGCAGCCGCGCAGCCCGGTTCCCGCGCTCAGTCCCTGTGGCCCAGGGGACACAGCGCAGGACGCTGTGGGCTAGGGTGAAAAGAGGAAGACCTCGGTTTGAATCCTCCAACTGCCACTTGGAAGCTCTGGGGCCTTGGACAATTTGGATAGCCTCTCTGAGCCTTAGTCTCCTTTAATGTAGGATGAGGAATCATTCAACAAATAGGTATCTCACTCCTAATCTATGCCAGCTCTAGGCTGGGTGTTTGGCATGCTCGGTGAATAAACAAAACAGACCCAGTCTCTTGCCCAGGTGCAGCTTGTAGTCAGTTGGGGAGGAACAGATACCCAACCAACCAGTGGACATATGTATTGATTATAATGAAGGCTTTGGGAGTAAAAGAATAAGCTGTTGTTTTCACCCACTTCAATGTCTTTCAGCACTTACTACGTTCAGGGTGCAGGTGAATAAAAACAATCACATTCAACACCTTCATCCCAATGCCAGTTTGTGCCCCATTGTATGGGCCACATTAGAATGGCTTTTGTGATCTTTTTGTGTGTGTGTGTTTATTTTTGAAAGACAGAGAGACAGAGCTAGTGGGGGAGGGGCAGAGAGAGAGGAAGAGAGAGGCTCCCAAGCAGTCTCCAAGCTGTCAGATTGGAACCTGATGGCAGGGCCTGAACCCACAAACCGTGAGATCATGACCTGGAGCTGAAACCGAGTCGGATGCTTAACCGACTGAGCCACCAAGGCGCCCTCTTTGTGATCTTTTACAGAAAACCCACACTAACCAAGAAGTGAACAATAACCAAATGAGTAAATGATAAAAGTAACTACCTTGCTGGGTCATTGTGAAAAATAAATGATACATTAAAACTCTTACTCATACCCTGGCATATAACAGGCCCTCAATAAATGCCAGGTATTATTAGGCGATAGCAGTGCCTAAAACTCCAGATCCCCTGCATTAGATAAACAGCATCTGAATCCTAGCTCTGCCACCTTTAGTTGTGTGACCTTGTAAGTCTTTGGACTTCATTAAGATTCAGGATTCTTAAACAAGAAACAGCCATAATATTGGTGTTTTATCCAACAGATCAAATAAGGTCATGCAGGCAAGGTTCCTCATTCAGGGCCAAGCACACAGGGAGCTCAGAAAATGGTGGTTATGAAGACTGGCCTACTGCAATGGCACCTGCTTCCTGTGCAACACAGACCAGCAAAGCTGCAAAGTTTCTCCAGGCCAAAGGACCCTTGAAATTTAAAGCTGAGTCCCAAGTAGGGTCTTCCAGGACCCGAGGCCTTTGATAGGGGTAAAGAGTAGGGTGTGGGGAAGTTCCCCTGGTAGGTCCAGGTTTGGGGGGCTGCTGAAGGAGACAGGTATGTCCAGAAATCAAAGGCTAGAGAAACTCCAACTTGGGCGTCTTCAGGGTGGGAGCACCAAGCTAGGAGACTTGGAAATACAAGCTCAGCTTGGAAAAGGCAGGCCCTCGTGGAGAGATGATTGGGCTGCTCTAGCTTCCTGCTTCCTCCCTGTGAAGCCTGGGGCTCTGATGGGTCATTCCCCAGGTCTAGGGCACACAGACCTGCAGGTCCAGGATAATAATAAAAACTAGAGATGCCCAAGACACCAGGTACCAGGCCCAGCGCTAAGCAGTCCTTAATTCCTCCCAAGGACTGGAAGGTGGGGGCATTTTTCCTATCTACCAGGCACAGAAACAGATTCTTCCACCAATCTCCCTGGCTTCCTTTTAGTTCTTGCAATTAACTGAGCAAGAGAAACTCTTCCCTGCTTCTCTGTGCACCCTTCCGCGACCATCGAACACATTCCTCATGAGTCACTTCAGACTTCAGTTTTATCCACTCATAGAGCCAACTGGGCTTTTCTTTGATATTCATGCTACCTTTTGCAATTCACGGCTTCTGAATTCATTTGTTCATTCATTTTAAGGTACTAGAAACTCCCAAGGGACATACCTGCCTTGTGCAACGGAATTCCCCTTACGCCCAGAGCCCAGCAGAGAGGAGGCACTCCATACACGCTTTCCAACCACCAACTGCTGAAGGAGGCTCAGGTTCAGTCATTCTCTTCAGGCTCCAGGATAAGCGGGGTAGGATTTCTCCCTGATTTCTCAACCCTCACCTGCATCAGAAACACACAAAGCCGGTTTTTGTTTGTTTCATTCTTAAGTTTGGGTCCCGCACCATTAAACCAAATCTCTTAGGCATTTATACATTATACTTTCATAATGCTGTCCAGGTGATTTTTGTAGATGACCAGAAAGGCCAGATCACTAAAAATGATAAAGGTTCACTCTCTTTTGGGTAGCATTAAAAACAACAACAACAACAACAACAACAACAACAACAAAAACTGCCTTGGATTCCATTACTAAGCAGCTATTTCAGGCCAGTGCTTTCAGCAAATTTTGGGCCAAGGGATGTGGGGAACTCGAACGAGTGGACGCGTGTGAATAATTCCGCCTTCCCCTTAGGCTCCCAGCAACCTCCTCCCCAACCAAACAAAACCACCAACTCTGAAAAAGGTAGTGTTAAAAAAAAAAAAAAAAAAAAAAAAAAAAAGGCCAGCGCTGGGAACTGGAGAGGGAGGGAGGGAGGTGGAGCATTTGCTTCAATTATCCGAATAATTGTTCCCTACCTCAGGCCATTGTTACCGAAATGAAACAATATTCTATTGGATCCAGTCCTCGCCTTTTCAGGCGTGCTCCCCGCAGGGCCTAGCACACGCTGGGCACCGAGTAGGCGCTCAATAAATTTTATTCTGATGACAGAGGAGAGCTTTTAAGGGTGGGGGAGGGATGTCCTGTTAGGCTTAAGGATTTGGGGGGGGGGGTGAATGTCAATTAAGGTGAGGCGGGGAGCAGAGGGGCTGTGTGGTAGGCCCTCGGTGTCACCAAAACTCTGTTCAGAGGGTACGGAGCCCGGGCCGCTCCCGAAATTCTGAGCCAGACTCCTCACTCCTTTCCCACAAGCCTCTTCCCACCCCCTTCTCCGGGGGCCGAATTGAACTCTCGCGCCTGTGGCGAGCACAAAGGCGAACTGAGGTTTCTCAACGGCCCCTCCGCTCTGAATGCGCACTCGGCAGAAGCAAGACCACTTTTTGGCGGTGGGTGAACACGCGGCCCGCAGCCTGCCCTCTCCGCGCAACGCGCTGGCCGGGCGCTGCGTTAGAAATAACACTAGTCGCGCAGCTGAAGGCAGAGCCGGGCACCGGCCCCTCTTCACGCTGCCAGCGTAGGAATGTGGGGGCTGACTCCTAAGTGCCCTGCTTTCATCCCGACTCCAGGCTTTTCAAGAGAGGCTTAGATTCTCTGAGTGTGTATTTGCTAATTGCAGCCTCGGCTTTAATGAGATTCTTTGAACTCCCCCACCCCCCAGTCCGGTTTGTAGGTTACAGCCTTATCTGGGGACCCTCGTTTTCCACCCCAGCTACACGTCTGTGAACAATCGCCTCTCCGGCCCCTGAAAGGAGAGCGAGCGCCCCATTTCTGCTGAATGCACGTCTCAGTTCATCCAAGGCTGGCGGGCTTTTGATGGCCACAATGCGAGTTACGCCCAAAGAGTGTCTCTTTGGTCAGATCGACAACGCTTGGCTTCACGTTTGCAAGTTAAACGGGCAGAAACCCGGCTGAAACTCCCACGCCAGACGCCGGGGACGCTTCCCTCCGCCCAGTTCAGAGCAGCACTGGGGACTGGGTCTGGGCAGGGGGAAGAAGGGAGGGAGCGGGAGTTGTCAGGGGGCGGCGCGGGAAAACAGTCCTGATTCTAGGCCGCCATCTAGAAGAAAGGGGGGGGGGGGGCCGGGCCATTTTCTCTGGTATATCCCTCTTGTTTTTATTTTTATTTTTTTCAGTTTGCTTTGTCGGCAGCTTTACCCCAACAAACAAACAAAAAATGAGAGCGTTTTTCTGCTTGTCTTCACCCAGGTAGCTGCTTTCCTCCAGCCCCTGAAAATGTGACTCCTTCATAAAATCAAAATTTATGATTATTCAAATGTTGGGGACTGTGAAAAGAGAGGAAGAAAGAGAGAAAATTAATATTGCAGCTGTTCTTCTGATTAATGAGAGATAATTGCTCATGAAAAGTCACCCCTGTGGCATTTTGTTGTCTCCTGGATCTTTGTTCTTTTCCACTATTATTGAGGACTTTCTTGAAGACTAAGCGGTTCTTTTCAATTTTTGGGTATTCAGAAAGGGTTGCCTGGTTACAGAGAATGGGGAAATCTCGGGCTATATCGGGTAAGATGTGCCACAGACAGCAATATCACAATGCCACTCGGAGAAAAGGATGGATACAAGTTAACGATGCGCTTTCAATAAAACATTCATAGACTTGTTCACGCTTTGATAATGACCTCATTAAAGGGAGCTGGGGGCAAGTAAGTCCTGTCTCCTGTTTGTGTTCGGCTAACAAAACCCAGCTTTGAGATCATTCATCGCTTTGGAAACTAATATGAAATCAATGTAAGAGGAGCAAATAAATCCGAGGCCGGCCCCGCCGGCTCCTGGGCTGTCCCGCCCTGCTCTCGGCCTCCATTTGGGGCACAAGAACCGTGTAGGCAAATGCTAAAACTGAGAGGAAAAAGGAGGACTGGGGATGGGGAGGGGGGTACTTTGGAGGGGGTGCAGAGGGAAAGACAATGTGGGAGTTACGGATGGAAAAACAGCTAAGCACATCAGTAGGTCAGAACTCTAGGGCCTGTGGAATAAGCAACGGCTAGGTCCACATTCTTTGCTTTTCCTGACTTTGCCCATGAAAGGAAATAGAAAGAGTGGGAAGCAAGAGGGGAATGTGAGGTCCAGGTCAGGTGTGACCCTGGATGGGGGAAGTACTGGAACACTTCTCGAAAGCTACAACCAAGAATTGAAATCTCAAGGTTGAGCTAGGAGGAAACTGCTCCTCCAGGCTCAAGTTGGAGGATCCAGGGGCAAGAAGACGGCACCTCTAAACTGCTTTGATTTTTTTTTCTCATTTGAGGGTAGGGGCGGGGTACCCTGACTGGTGTGTGTTAGGGGGAGAGGAGGGGACAGTTTTGTTACCTTCATATCTGTGACATTGTCTTGCACTCAAGGAAGACAAAGCCATCCTCTGTCATCCCAGCAAAAGAGAGGAAATCAAAGGATCGCCCCTCCCCTTAAAAGAACTAATTTTCTCCTTGAATTATGAAAGTAATGGCTTAGGTAACAGCCTGTACTCTGTACCCGACTGCTTAATACCGAATAAATCCTTCCACGTGGCTCCCCGAGTCGTGGCAATTAGAGCTCATTATAGGCTCATAAGAGCTCTCATTTCAGGGATTACTTAATGGACGATGAAATTTTATCGGACAGAATCACTGAGAAATAAAATTGCGTGGCAGCGGGGGCACGGTGGGGGCACACTGACGGGCTGCCCAGGGGTCCCCTTCTGCTTTGAGCAGGTTCGAGGTTCTGCTGTCCTGGGGAAGGGTCTGGCTGGTAGCTGCTCAGGGCCATGGAGGGTAGGCTTCCTTTGGGAGTGGGGGTGGCAAGGCACAGTGGGGCCAACTTCTGAAGATAGGGCTAACGAGAAAGAGGGAAACTGAGAGAGCCAAAGAGAATTAATGAGAAGAACCTGAGAACCTCCGATGTGGAACGTGACCCCAAAAGACTTGCTTTTGGTGGGCTTGAGCAATGTATTTATTTTTCTGAGCAATTTACTTTAAAAATGTTTTTAATTGCACTTAGTTAACATACAATGTTATGTTAGTTTCAGGTGGACAATACAGTGACTCAGCACTGCCATACATCGCCCTGTGTTCATCACGAAGGCTCAAGCAATTTCACCAGGTCCTCTTACAAGCAGGTTTCTCTGACATGGTCTGCTTTCAGCCCCAGTCTGGCCCCAAGCTACTGTACCCCTTACAGCCCTAAGTGACCCCCACCCCCCCCACCCAGCCTCTCACTTTTTGCAAAATTCCTTAGCACTCCAACTGGATGTTTCCATATTTATACAGAAGTTAAATTAGTTGTTCGAGCTTCATAATTAGGATTCTCTAAAGTAAAATTGGGCCTTCTATAAGCACACATTCCAGCACATCAACATGGGGATTCTAGAGTGAGCATACCCAGAATCACCGGGAACACAGTGACCCAAACGGTAAGCCCAAAACAAACCTCAGATAACCTACTACCTAACCCAGAAGACGAAAAAGGAGAGGGAAAAGTTATTACTTTTCTTTGAGCACTCACAAAGTGAATAAATACATACATATAGGTATGTACTAGATAAATTTTTAAAAGTGTATGTATACATAGATGTGCACATACAAATATACATCCACACACTTGCAAAGTGAATGGGAAAATCATGTCACCTATTTGGACAATTTAGGCCTTTAAAAAACACCCAGCCATCAAACATCTCTTAGTGGTTGAGCTTCCAGGGTTTTCAGGGTTGGAATGATTTCGGGACTAGCTGCGTCCTCCCGACTGGAGCGAGGGCGGGTGGGCAGGCAGGCCGGGTTGAGGCTGAATGTCTGTGATGGCTGCATCGTCAAACCTTGTGGTACAAAAGTAGTTACAGCTGAGCTGCCCTGAGTTAAGCCCTGAGACTCCTTAATTGTTGTCACAAGATGTTGGATTAGCACATTTCTGGAATAGCTGTCTGTTTACACTCTGGAGACCCACCGTCCACTAACCGCTTTCTAATTGAATTCTAATCACATTCAAATAGCTCAATAACCAGCCTCAGCTGCAATTCATAAAACTTTAATTGCCATCCATAAATCCTGGGCTCCCCAGAGCGGGGCGTCCATACAACGCAATTACACTTCTCCGGCAGGCAAGAGAAACTGTCCCAGAGATGAAAAAGGGGAGAGAAGAGACAGAGGGCAGAGGGGTGGCCATGCCTCCAGCGGAGAAGCTGTTGCTCCCCTGGGATTTGGGCATTTGGTTCTCACAGGTGGAGGGAGTCCCGTCCCCAAGTTTCTTAACACCAGTGTGAACTCAGGTCTGAAGTCTGCTGTTTGGGAAAAAGGATCAGACTCTATTGCTTGCTCCCTGCCCCGACCAGATTTTCTCCAGCGGGGGTGGGGGGGGGGGGGGGGGAAGACCTCACCTTCCCCAAAGATCAACAGCCCCTAGCTTGACAGCCACCTTCTGTCACACAGCCCCTAATACACATCTTCCACTGAAGACGGTGCCCCCCAGATTTCCTTTACCAAGCCACTTCTCCCATCCTGAGGCAGGATTCCTCCCGTAGGTCAAATCCCTTCAACCTCTCTCAGCTTTTAAAGGGGTGCAGCCTGGAGAGTGCTTGCTGGTTAGGCTGCCAGCCGCCCAAGGTCAGGCTGTGAAATGTAAAGGGGCAGGAAGTGGCGGGACCCAGAGCAAAGGCCTTCCCCAAGCCCTGCCCAGTCTCCAGGAGGGCTAGGATTTGGGTCCTCTCCAAAATCATAGGGATGGAGTTTGCAGGGGTGTCCCGGGAAAGGCATCGGCTTGGAGAAAGGAGAGTGACGCTTCAACGCCTCTCTCCGCCACAGGGCATGCTGCCGATTACAAAGGAGCGCGAGGAAGTGTCGCTGATCCCAGCGGCCCCAGGGAAGCCCCAAGTGCAAAGGCATCTTGGAGCTTCTCAAGCATTCGAATGAAAAGCTCGGCAGCTTCTTAGCTGGGAGTCCTCACTGGTACGCCCCGGATCCGTCACGAACTAACCACCTGAATGACTGTGGCCAAGTCCAAATGCTGGGGGACTGTGTGTGTGTGTGTGTGTGTGTGTGTGTGTGTGTGTGTGAGTGCACGCGCGCGCGCGCGCGTGTCCGTGGTGCAAACCGCGATCCCGGGCTGGGCTACTGCCAGTCCGCCGCCCACACGGTCGTGCTCCAAACTGCAGGCCTCACACTTTACCGCGCCTCAGCCTCGGCTGGTACAGAAGGGCAGGGAGCATTGGGCATCCCTATTACAAAGGCCTCAAGGTCCCCACCTGGGGCGCTTTTCGGCCGGGCGTGGGGAAGAGTTGGGCTGGGGCCCAGGCCAGGGAAAGGGGTAGAATGGGGGATGCAGCTCTGATTTCTCGAGAAAGCGTGGAGAAAGAGGGGGAGGAGGCCGGCGTCCCCGCGAAATTCACAAAACCTACACTTTGCAAAGTCCCCCCCCTCCCCCTCCCTCGAGTTCTTCCCTGCAGCGCGCCCGCCCCTCCTCGCCGCTTCTGTTGTGACTCGGGCAGCCTATCCCGAGGGTGGGGAGCTGCTGAGGAGCCTGAGCCGAGCGGTACTCTGCAGCATCACGTGCCGGGGTGGGGGCTATAAAATCCCGGAGCCGGGGAGCCGGGCGGGGGACGTGAGGACCAGCCCTCTCCAGGGACCCCTTTGTTCGCAGCCCAGACGCCGAACACCTCCGCGTCCCCAAGGGCTTGACCGCCTGCGTCCGCGCCGCACCAGGGGCAGAGCTCAGAACAGGAGAGGGGAGGGGGCGCCAGCGCCGGCCACCGGGCCCTCCAGCCACCCACCCCTCCCGACATGTCGCGCTCCTTCTATGTCGACTCGCTCATCATCAAGGACTCCTCGCGGCCCGCGCCCTCGCTGCCTGAGCCGCACCCCGGGCCAGATTTCTTCATCCCGCTGGGCATGCCATCCCCGCTGGTGATGTCTGTGTCGGGGCCCGGCTGCCCGTCCCGCAAGAGTGGCGCGTTCTGCGTTTGCCCACTCTGCGTCACTTCGCACCTGCACTCCTCTCGTGGGCCGGCGGGCTCCGGCGGCGGGGGCGCCGGGGCGGGGGGCGCAGGGGCCGGGAGTGGTGGGGGAGCGCCGGGGGGCGCCGGGACCCTGCCCCTGCTCAAGAGTCAGTTCTCTTCGGGTCCTGGGGACGCTCAGTTCTGCCCGCGCGTGAGCCACGCGCACCATCATCACCACCCGCCGCAGCACCACCATCACCACCATCAGTCCCAGCAGCCAGGCTCGGCCGCCGCTGCCGCAGCCGCGGCGGCCGCGGCGGCGGCCGCGGCGGCCTTGGGGCACCCTCAGCACCACGCACCTGTCTGCGCCGCCACCACCTACAACGTAGGGGACCCGCGGAGATTCCACTGCCTCACCATGGGTAGGGTGGGGTCTCTGGGCACCTGCGCGCCGCGCCTTCGCGGCTCCCGGGAGCAAACTTTCCGCCTCCAGGGGAGGAAGTGGCAGCCTGGGGGGCGGGGTGGGGTGGGAGGAGGGGCTTTTGGTGTAACTGTGGAGACGTCCCCAGAAGTTCCACGAAAGTGGAAGTTAGCTTCGAACCTCTCCAAGCAGCCTGGTGCTTTCACGCCCGCTACCTGGTGTCCGAGTCTTGCACAGTATCGGGGCCTTTGGGACCTCGCACTCGAGGGCTGAGAAAGCGAAGGCTAACTGCGTGAGGGTTGGGGGTGGGTATGTTGGAACTTCGGTGTGGCAGTCCGTCGTCGAGGCTAGCTGAAGCGTTTCGATGCTCTGGGCTAAGCCTGCTTGCCTCTGCTGGGCTTGAAGGGAGACGACCGGACAGCGCAAGCCCCGACCCCTCCTTTAAGCCTCTGACTTTACATCTCGCACAGCATAGGCCTTCCTTCACTTGCTTTGGGCGTCTCTGTCCTTCCGTGCTGAGTAACGAAGTGCCGTGGAATGGGAAGGGATGAGGGATGGATACAGGTGTTTGGTTGAGCTCCGCGGAAGGGTCCTTGAGAGGCGTCCCTTCCAAGGGATGGCGCGTGGGGTGGGAACACGTCATCCGAGAATGACCTCTCTGCCCTCTCTTGGCCGGTCTGCAGGAGGCTCGGACGCCAGCCAGGTACCCAATGGCAAGAGGATGAGGACAGCGTTCACCAGCACGCAGCTCCTGGAGCTGGAGCGGGAATTCTCCTCCAACATGTACCTGTCTCGACTCCGGAGGATCGAAATCGCGACCTACCTGAACCTGTCGGAGAAACAGGTGAAAATCTGGTTTCAGAACCGCCGGGTGAAGCATAAGAAGGAAGGCAAGGGCACACAGAGGACCAGTCACGCGGGCTGCAAGTGTGTCGGCAGCCAGGCGCACTACCCGCGCTCGGAGGATGAGGACTCCCTGTCGCCGGCCTCGGCCAATGATGACAAGGAGATTTCTCCCTTGTGAGGGAGGGATGCCTCCGCCGCACCACACGCTCCTGGCAGCCCCCACGCCACCAACGCGCCTGGCACGCAGGGCGCCAGATCCTCAGCCACTGCGTGGTCCCATTTGGAGAAGGAGTACTGGCCGAGCGGAGTAGTCTGGCCTGACCCTTCGCATCTCCTCCTTGACCTATATGTTTGAAGATCCACTCGAAGTTATAGATCGTTTTTTTTTTTAATGTAAATAATCTAGATTCAACTCAGTCTTGTCATATAACAGAGGGGGGAGGGGAAAACAGGGTTGATTCAAGTTTAACACTGTGTGGGGCTTTTTGAAAGCGCACGTCCTCCCTTCCCTACAGTCTTACAGGACCTAAGAAGAACACCGGGTTTCTTGATTATTTTCTTTTGTTGTTGTTGTTGTTGTTGTTGTTTTAGTGAAAGCGTATGGATTTCAAATAACTTAGAAAATTAAATGCTGTAGGTCTCGCTTTCTGAAAATTTGCCTGGGGAGAGATTGGAATTCAAGTTGCTGGAAGTCCCTTTGTATGTGAATAGTTTTATATAAAATTTATATTTATATTTATTTAAATAAATGAAACAAAATCAAGGTTTTAAACTTGTGGTGCTTGCTCTCACCATCTTTCCCCATCTTCCTCTCACCTGTATCTTGAAAAAAACATGGACGGGGCGGAAAACGTGTCTGAGAATTTAGAGGAAAGTGTTGACCAAAACCTGGTAATGTAGGTCTTTGGTTGAGGGAGTATGTGGTACACCATCAGGCATGATTTTCACCTACCAAGTAGTAACTCCCCATCCTCAAAACAGCTAAGCCACTCACAGTGGCTAGGACAGGTCACTCCGTTTAAAGTGACACTGACAATTAATGACGGGCAAACCTTTTGATTTATTTAACAGGGAAAGATTCTTTCTGTGGCAGTTCCCCTCTCCCTGCCTTTCCCCCTCCATCTCTCTCAGTACTAAAACCCGAGTCATGTGAAGGAATTTGAATAGTCAGAATCGTTTCAGGAAGAGCAGCAATCCATCATCAGGGTGGAAGCACACACAAGGAAACTTACAAATGATGCTGCAAGTGACTAGAAACCTTACTTCCTGGCTGTTCCAGTAGCTAAGAAATTAGCTGGTTTCCACGGTGCCAAGGAAACAAACAGACAGGCACAGGGAATTATTCTTCCCAAAGGTTTATATTCTCACTTTTCCAAAATAGCTCAGAGGTGCTTTGGACTCTTGCAGGGTTTTTTTTTTTGGTCTCCCTAACTTTAGCCTAAACCTGTTCCCTTATAGTCCCTCTCTTCCTCATAGTCTTGCAGAGTTAATTTCTGCAAACCTGGTCCTGGAGATTTACTCTAGCTCTGCCTTTAGCAGGGCCACCTGGCACTCTGCTCAGTGCAGCCAGGACCTGTCATCCAAGGGAGAGAAGTGAAGCTGGAAATGTGGAAACTAGATCTCATTCCCTGCAAGCTGAGCCCACTAACATCCATTAGCGTTGTTATTATATAATTATTTTCTGGAAAGATGCCACCCAAGAGGTTCAAGCCATAGGAACTGTTTACAACACACATTTCTTTAGGTCTGATTTGCTTTAGGTATGTAGGAACTGACACCTCACCAGGTGGGATGGGGCCCTAAAACGAGGTCTGGACGCTAGTTTGGGAAAAGGGGGAAAGGAGGGAGAATGTGATCATGGTCTTTCTTTCTTTCTCCCCCCCCACCCCCCCCCGTGCCTCTCTCTCTCACACACACACACACACACACACACACACACACACACACACTCACGGGAGGCCCAGGAGAAGGAAAGCCCCCCTCCCAACTTCCGAGGCCCGCCGTGGTCAGTTCCCATTCGGGTTCCGGCTGGGGCAGGAGGGAGGGAGGAGGGATCGCGCAGCGTCGGACTGAATAGGGAGCGGCCGAGGCTTTGTGCAGAGACGTGGGCCTGGTCCTGCGCAGCGGTCACAGGCATCCAGCTCTCTCCTGCCCGGGCTTGGGAGGCTCAGCCTCCGGGTCTCTCTGTCACGCGCGGAGCCCCGGGCCGGTCACGCCGGCCCACTGCCTTTCCTGAAGGTCCCGTCTCCCTCTTTCCCAATCAACAGTCCTCTCTCTGCACGAGTCCGGGGGTGGGAGGAAAGGGGTTTCGAGGTGAGAACCGGCATTCACGGAGAATTCTTTTCTCGGGAAAGAACAGGAAGGACAAAGCGCCCCTGCGGCAGCTCTCTGCGCTCCTGCTCAAAGCGAAGCCTCAGCGGGGAGGTCGGCACACACCTCCGTCCCCCTCCCACCCACTCCGGGCTCTGCCCCCGAGCCGTCCCGCGCTCAGGCCTGGCCCTTCCCAAGTTCTAGCCGAGGACGAACCCGAGCTTCTGCGCCTCGCCTGGCTTCAACCCAGGCCCTGGGCCCGGAGCGCGGAGCCACGCACCTGCCACACCCGTGCCGCGCGGCGCGCCCAGCTCCACCGCCCTGCGAGGGACACGCGGCGCCAGCCCTTCTCGCCAGGTTTTGGGCTGCTTGGATGGTCTCAGCCCCTCTCCTTCCTGTCTTTGGGGGGAAATTCCTCAGGGAAGAGAGAATAAACAATGCACTCCCCTACCCCACACACACCACTACCAGAGGCAAAAAGTTTCAGGCACAGATACCTATCTAGACTTTGGACATTCTCCATAGACACCTTCTCTAGGGTTTTCAGGGAGGTTCTAGGATATTAGGTGCGGAGTGGACCTTCTTCTCACTGTAAGAGTGAACCATGAGGTCTCCTTGTCTACTAGGGTAGATTTTACATCTCTCCCAAACCCCCTCCCCCTCTCCACCCCCCCAAAGTAATCAGTTGATGTTTCTGAAGTTTACAAATCTGAACAAGGCTTTGGGAATCTCCGATTTAATTTTTTTTAACGGGAGGGGCAGAGAGAGAGGGAGACAGGATCTGAAGCAGGCTCCAGGCTCTGAGCTGTCAGCCCCGAGCTGGTGGAGGGGCTTGAACCCGTGAACCATGAAATCATGACCTGAGCCAAAGTCTTACACTCAGCTAACTGAGCCACCCAGGCACCCCGGGAATCTCTGATTTTAAAGGCCTACAGTTTCACTTAGGTTAAGAAATCCTAGGCCAACCCTGGGACACACAATTGCCCTGCTAAACAATCTTGATATCAAACACTCTAAGTGAAATATCCACAGATTTATTAAAGAGGACTGTTTAGGGTGTGTGGGGCCACCCTTGACAATTTCTCTACCTGGGAAACACCAGATGCCAGCTTTTCATTATGCCCCCACTTGAAAAACAGAATTCTGTTCTCCCTCCCCAAACTGTGGCCTCTTAGGGGACTGTACACACATATTGGAAAGAGAGAGGGAGAATGAACATAAGAATTAGAAATTAGGATCTTGCTCCACGAAGAGAAAAGGAATGAGTAGCAGGAGCCATTAGTGTGGTTGAGCCCATCTCTGAAAGCAAGTCCTGTGGTGGCTTCAAACAGGAAGAAGTCCTGGGTGGGAGTGGATGGACCCTGCCCTTGTGCCCTAACCCAGTCCTAATATTCTGAGAGAAAAAGGGGAACAGAGACCTTTCTCCTTCATCCTCCTACAGTGACCAACACAAGCCCAAGGCCAAGGGCCTACCGTTGATAGGAGCACTTGGCAAGTCTTTTTTGATGCAAACCATACCCAGAGCAGAAGACAACCAGCAGCCTATCCCTGGGGTGGGGGTGTCAACCCACGCAGGTGATAGAGACACTGATGACTCCTCTCATTCTGAACTATTCTGCAGTGGCCTTCTTACCTTGGTCCCCCTCCGCCTGGCACATCCATAATCCCACTCCCCTCAAGGATGGCCAAGGGTATTTTAAGAGAAGGAAAACTTGGGGATGTGAAGTCTTTGATTTTGGGCTCCCTCCTTCATTTCCTCACCAGAACCCTATACCAAACACGATCAGGATTAGAAATGCATGCTAAGTGAAATTAGCCAGTCAGAGAAAGACAAAGATCATATGACTTCACTCGTATGAGGACTTTAAGAGACAAACCAGATGAACATAAGGGAAGGGAAACAAAAATCATATAAAAACAGGGAGGGGGACAAAACAGA